GTAACACCAGCTGCCTGCAATTACTGCAAGTTCAAATCTCACCAGGCTCAAGGTTGACTCAGCCTTCCATCTTTCCGAGGTAGGTAAAATGAGGATCCAGATTGTGGGGGCAATAAGCTGACTTTGTATAAAAAAAAACACCGCTTAGGGGCCCCCGAAAGCCCTACTAAGCAGGTATATACAAAAGTATGAAGGCTATTGCTTAATGCATTGTAAGCTGCCCTGAGTCTCCAGAGAAGGGCGGCATATATAAATCGAATGAATAAATAAATAAACAAACAAACAAACAAACAAACAAACAAGCAAATAAATAAATAAATACCACGCTTCCCTGAAAATAAGACCGTCTTATATTTTGTTGAACCCTGAAATAAGTGCTTGGCCTGATTTTTGAGGAGGTCCTATTATTTCGGGGGGGGGGCGCGGAGCAAAATGGGGCTCCTCTTGCCATCTTACCTACCTGATTTCCAGCTTTGTCTCCCTAACCCTAACCAGAGGAAATGGCGGGGACCGGTTGCACATGCATTTAAATATTTTCGGGGAGGGCTTATTTTGGGGGAAGGTTTATTTTAGCACATGTGCTCAAAAGCCCAATTGGGCTTATTATCCAGGGAAGTCTTTTTTTGGGGAAACAGGATAGATAGATAGATAGATAGATAGATAGATAGATAGATAGATAGATAGATAGATAGGTTAGGTTAGGTTAGGTTAGGTTAGGTTAGGTAAGATTAGATTAGATTAGATTAGATTAGATTAGATTAGATTAGATTAGATTAGATTAGATTAGATTAGATTAGATTAGACAGACATTTGCAGAAAATGTGTTGGTGGCCTTTCACAAGTGCGGCTGTCTAACCTGTCCTTTCTTCCTCTTCTAGCTTCTGAAAACGATCTGCTAAATAAGCGCCTGAAGCTTGATTACGAAGAAATGACTCCATATCTCAAAGAAGTAATCTCCGTCTGGGATAAAATGCTGAACACGCCAGGAAGGTCAAAGATCAAGTTTGACATGGAAAAAATACACTCCGCTGTTGAGAAAGGTGAGGTCAACCGATTCCTTGAGGGATGCAAATATGTTGGCACTTTGGAAAGTGTGTTATTATCTTTTTAAACAGATGCAGTAGCTGTTTATCAGAATATAGTAATGATATTGAATAAATGTATCATGCTTTAAACTGTTAAGCATTATATTACTGGAGTAAAGGTGAGAGTTATTTATTTTTTATTTATTTATCAGATTTGTATACCGCCCTACTCCCGAAGAACTCAGTTATGATGTTAGTTATGGCCAGAACTACCGTGTTTCCCCGAAAATAAGCCCTCTCCAAAAATAAGCCCTTCCCGAAAATATTTAAATACATGCTCATCAGGTCCCCGCCATTTTTTCTGGTTAGGATTAGGTTGACAGAGCTGAAAATCAGGTAAGACGGCAAGAGGAGCCTCATCTCGCTCCCCGAAATTAAGGCCAAATGCTTATTTTGGGGCTCAAAAAAATATAAGACAGGGTCTTATTTTCGGGGAAACACGGTATTTAAAGTGGCATTTTCAGAGAGAGAGAAAATTCCTATGAATTCATAACTCTCCATTTACGGATCTTTTTCTAACTTCTTTGAGTTGGCAATTCCTTGATTGGGGTATTGTTTATTTCTTAATTGTTGATCTAATATTAATCTTGGTGTTAATCTCTGCTTATCTGACACATAGAGACACACAGAAATAAACACAGACATACATACCATTCAGAAGAGAGAATCCCCAAAAAATAATCCCAAAATAAAACAGAAAAACCAAAACAATGCTAATCAATACCCAGTTAAACAGAGATTGACACCAAGGTTAATGCCAGACCCACAATCAAGAAGTAAACAATACCCCAATCAAGGAACTACCAATTTAGACAATTAATAAACCTTGATTAAAGGAACCACCAAGAAGGCTCCCACCAACTCTGACAGGGCAAGCCACATGTACATAAACAGAGAACGAACCCCACTCCCGTCTAGCACTGATGATATTACTTAGTTGGGTAATGAAATGTTTGCAGGAAAACAACCAAGCTCAGAGGCCGCCAAGTACCCCACAGTCTTCCTCTTCTTCTTCCTCCTCCTCCTCCTCTTCCAATCTCTCTCTCTCTCTAGAACAGATAATGTTACCTAGTTGGGTAATGAAATGTCTGCGAGAAAGCTACCAAACTCAGAGAACACCAAGGACCTCACAGTCCTCCTTCTTCTCCTCCACTACTTCCTCCTCCACTACTTCCTCCTCCTCCTCCTCCTCCTCCTCCTCTTCCAATCTCTCTCCCTTCTAGAACTGATAATGTTACTTAGTTGGGTAATGAAATGTCTGCGAGAAAGCCACCAAACTCAGAGAACACCAAGGATCTCACAGTCGTCCTCCTCCTCCTCTTCCTCCTCCTCCTCCTCCTCCTCCTCCTCCTCCACTACTTCCTCCTCTTCCTCCTCCTCTTCCAATCTCTCTCCCTTCTAGAACTGATAATGTTACCTAGTTGGGTATTAAAATGTCTGCGAGAAAGCCACCAAACTCAGAGAACACCGAGGATCTCACAGTCCTCCTCTTTCTCCTCCTCCTCCTCTTCCTCCTCCTCCTCCACTACCACCTCCACCACCTCCTCCTCCTCTTCCAACCTCTCTCCCTTCTAGCACTGATGACGTTACCTAGTTGGGTAATAAAACATCTGCAAGAAAACCAACAAGCTCAGAGAACATCAAGGACCTCACAGTCCTTCTCCTCCTCCTCTTCAAACCCCTCTCCCTTCTAGCACTGATGATGTCCCTTAGTATGGTAATGAAATGTCTACAAGAAAACAACGAAGCTCAGAAAGCACCAAGGATGCCAGAAGAGCAATATTCCTCTTAGCTCCTTACTGATGGCATGAACTGTCTGAAAGACATTCCAGGATAAATGAACTTATCCTAGCAGCATTTCAAGGCCATTCTGGAAGGCCATCCCCATTGAAAGCAATGATTTCCCTTTTTTAAAGCAGGGAGCTTGTACATACCGTATGTTGGTGTCTCATTCACTGCAAATCTGGTTTTTTTTTCCCCTTTGCTCTTAAAATCTTTTGAAAAGGAGTTCCTCGGCAACAAAGGGGCGAGATATGGAAGTTTTTAGCAGAGGTGCACCAACTCAAGCACCCGTTTCCGACGAAGCAGCAGCCAAAGGACACTCCGTACAAAGAACTCTTAAAACAACTGACTTCCCAGCAGCACGCAATTCTGATCGATTTAGGTAAGTCTGCCCGCAAGCAAATCCGGTATTCAACTTGGAACGTTTTTGCATTTGCAAAAAAAGGGTCATATTCAGAAGTGGTATTCAGCCGGTTCGGATCGGTTCACCCGTACCGGTAGCGGAAATCGCGAGTGGGCCCAGACACCCGCTCCGGCTCTATGCCATCCTATTTAGGCACGTTTTTGAGGCCGGGCACATGTGAAGAAGTTTCTTAGGGAGTGGTGCAGTGGCCTAGAGGTGGGGCTCTCGCCTCACAATCAGGAGGCTGTGAGTTCGATTCTAGGTAGAGGCAGATATTTCTCTCTCTGGCCACACTGAGAATATATCTGCCGAACAAAACTCCGCATTGGCGACAGGAAGGGCATCCGGCCAGTAAATACTCAGCTCCATTCAGTTGCCCAGATTTTACCCCGCAAGGGATTATGGGGTCATTAAATGAAGATGATGATGATGATTGAAGAAGTTTCTTTGTGAGCAAATGGCATTCAGAACTTCTACAGGTGGTCCTTCACTTAAAAATCATCAGTTTACTGACCATTTGAAGATACAGTGAGACTGGAAAAAAGTAACTTATTATGCGTTTTCACATTTATGACCTTTGCAGCAACGATCAAACGATTGTGCGATCAAAATTTCGGCAACTGGCATGTACTTATGATGGTTCCACTGTCCTGAGGTCACGTAAACGCCTTTTTGTTACCTTCCCAGACAGCTTTGACAAGCAGAGTCCAATTAACAGCTGCCGCAATTCACTTAACAACGGTGGCAAGAAAAGTCGTCAAACGGGGCAAAATTCACTTCACTTTGCAACAGAAATTTTAGGCCCAATTTTGGTCGTAAGCAGGGGTGGGATTCAGCTGGTTCGGACCAGTTCAGGCGATTTTAATTTTAATCTGGTTCGGCGAACCGGTTGTTCCAAGGACTGGCTGACCCTGCCTGCCCCGCCCCTCCCAGCAGTCTCCACGTGGCCTGTTTGGGATGCCAGGATGTGTACGGAGGCTCTGGGAGGCGAAAAATGGGTCTACCGGAAGTCCAGAAATGGGCCTGTTTCCGGCCTCCGGAGGGCCTCTGGTGCCTGGGGAAGGCCGTTTTCGCCCTCCTGGAGGCTCAAGGAAAGCCCCTGGAGCCTGGGGAGGGCGAAAAAACAGGCCTACCGGAAGTCTGGAAACAGGCCCATTTCCGACCTCCAGAGGGCACACGAAGCGAACCAGTTGTTACAACCGGTGAATCCCACCACTGGTCGTAAGTCAAGGACTAGCTGTGATTTCCTTTTTCTGTTATATTTTTTTAAAGGGTCGGAGCATTTTGTTTTCAACACCCGGTCACAAGGAAGAGGTGTGTGCTAAATGGTCCAAACAATTGGCCAAAATAATTCCATGAAATATATAGTTCATGGAATTATAGTTATTGGTATAAGTGCGGCCATGTTGAGGCTATAAATTCAGGCTATTTTTGTACAGGTAGTCCTCGACTTACAACAGTTCATTTAGCGACTGTTTGTAGTTACAACGTCACTGAAAAAAGAGACTTATGACCGGTTTTCACACTTACGACTGTTGCAGCATCCTCATGTGACCAAGGTTTGGATGCTTGGCAACTGACACGTATTTATGACGGGTTGCAGCATCCCAGGGTCACGTGATGCCCCCCTTTGCATCCGTCTGACAAGCAAAGTCAACGGGAAGCCAGACTCACTTAACAACCGGGTTACTAACTTAACAGCTGCAACAATTCACTTAACAACGGTGGTGAGAAAAGTCATAAAATGGGGCGAAGCTCCCTTCCTGAATGTCTCACTTCGCAGCCTAAACTTTGGGCTCCATTACGGTCGTAAGTTGAGGACTCCCTTCCTTCCGCCTCCTTCTGTAACATTATACACAACTTCCTGAGCTGGAAGATTTTCCTTCCGGAAAATTACCAAACTATTCCTGATTCTGCTTAATGACTGAACAGTTCCCTGCAGGGACTCACTTAACAACTGTAGCAAGAAAGGTGGTTAACATGGGGCAAGGTTCACTTAACGACGCTCTTGCTCAGCAACTTAAACGTTGGGCTCAATTGTGAGTTTTGGGGTTTTTTTATAATATTTGGAAAGTGTTGTGGCCCATCAGCTGCTTGTGCAGCTAGTAGCTGATTCCGACAGCGAGGAGGCTGGTGTGGTGCTGCGCCAGCAGCCTGTGCAGCTGGCACTCGAGTCGGACAATGAGGAGGCTGGAGAAGATGTGGTGCCAGAGGCGGGGATTCAGCCAGGGCCTTCAGAACCTCCAGAAGCTCCCATAAGTGAAGAGGAAGAAGAGGAGGAGTCTCTTCTTGATGCACGGGCGCGCAGAGCTGCCAAAAGGCAGGAGTGGCTCCTCAGGAGGAGGTCTCCTCGAGAGTAAGACTTGGGGCTAATTGGCCACTCCCCTAGCCTATTTAAGGAAGGACGATGACTGAGGCAATTTGCAGGGAACAACTTAGTTCACTCTCCTTCGTGTCTTGATCTTAGTTCTTTTATCAGTTTCCTGCAAATTGCTTCTGGGCTTTCTGCCAACCCTAGTAAGATTATGATTATTTATTCTTTGGATTCTCGTAGGCTGTTAAGAAAGTTAATTAACAGCCTTTGTTTGAAAAAGACTGATTTAATTTAGTAAACTAAGGTTTGTACAGACTTTGTGTGTGCTGCATTCTTTGGGGTCCGTAGCTGGGGCAGAACAGAAAGTGCTTTGCATGACAAAGCTGATTTCTGTCTATGACCATCTCTTTTCTCTCTCTCTCTCTTGTAGGGCGCACTTTTCCGACCCATCCCTACTTCTCATCCCAGCTTGGAGCTGGCCAGCTCTCCCTCTATAATATCCTGAAGGCCTACTCCCTCCTGGATCAAGAAGTAGGCTATTGCCAAGGCCTCAGTTTTGTGGCCGGAGTGTTGTTACTACACATGAGTGAAGAAGAAGCCTTCGAGATGCTGAAGTTCCTGATGTTTGATATGGGCCTTCGGAAGCAATATCTACCGGTCATGATTCTCCAGGTAAAGGACCTGCGTTACGTTTATTTAGTATTGCACCCAGTTATGTGAACCCTATACGGGTAGCCCTCGATGTACGAAGACATTTGGAGTTTGTAGGATTGCTAGTGTTGTGGTCCGCCAGCAGCCTGCGGAGCTGGTAGTGGAGTCGGACAGTGAGGAGGCTGGGGAGGAACATGGGCCAGTCCTGGAGTCTTGGGCTCTGCGTCGGAGGCAGAGATGGGGCCAGGGCCATCTGGGAGTTATGCGCAGACTCCGGAGTCTCCAGAATTGGACAGCAGAGAGGCAGAGGAACAGGAGGAGCCTTTTCCTAGTGCACGCATGTGCAGAACTGCCAGAAGGCAAGAACAGTTCAAACTAAAGGTATGACTCAGGAGTAAGGCCTGGAGATGATTGGCCCCTTCCATAAAGCTTAAAAGAGGAGCAAAGGCTCTTGGGCCCTTTGTAGGAAAGCAACGTTGTTAATTATGTTTCCAGTCAGCATCTCTGTTTTATTCTGGACTCCGTGTGGCTTTGCCAAGTAGGTCTTTGGCAGCGTGTCAAGGGAGATAAAGGTTGGTGATTATCCCGAAGGACTTTTTGCAACTAATTGGGACTCAGCTGTGAATGAACGTAATTCACAGCTGTTGCAATAAAAGAGGTTTTTGGGGCTACTCGTGTGTTTTAATGACTCAGGAAGCCGAGGTCACAGCAGCTAGCTTCTTCCTTGCTTCGTGGACTCATTTCCCTGTTCCTTTGTTTTGCTGGACTGCGCACAGCCAGACGCTACCATATGCGCGCACATGTGTGTGCTTTTCTCTGGGATTTGCCAAGAACGTGGGAACGTTTGACGGGAAATTTGGAGCATTAAAGGGGAGTTTGAATTCTCAGCCGGCTGTGAGTTTCTACTTGTATGAGTTTCCATTTCTACGGGACCATCACACCTCCACCTTGAAATGGTTGGAGGAAATATTTAAAAACCTGGACTGTTTTTATTTGCATGACCGGATGATCGTTTTGGGGAGGACGATATTGGGGGATAATTTTGATAGATTTGTTTAGCAGGCAATGGATGATTTTTTATTTTATTTTCAAGACAGGAACTCTTCTTAAAAAATGATCACAAAATGCATTAAAACTTAATTTCTTTGCCTGGTTGAACTTACAACTGACTTACGGGTAGGGTGAAAAACTCAGAACTGCCTTTCAATTGCGTTGTCAGGGAGTCCTCGGCTTATGACCACAATTGAGCCCAACATTCCTGTTGTTAAGTGCGAGACGTTTGTTAAGTGAGTTTTGCCCCACTCTGCGACTTTTCTTGCCGCAGATGCTAAGTGCTTAGCATCTGTCACCTGGTTGTTAAGTGAATCTGGCTTCCCCTCTGGATTTTGAAGGTCGCAAAAGGAGAATCACGTGACCCTGGGACTCCGCAACGGTCATAAATATGAGTCAGTTGCCACGCGTTGCAAATTTTGGTCATGAGGATGCTGCCAGGCATCGTAAGTGTGAAAAATGGTCACAAGTCAAAAAAATTTTCAGTGACGTCTTTGCTTCGGTCATTAAATGAACTGTCGTAAGTCAAGGACTACCTGAAGCTGCACCTCCCGGCGGCATATATCCTGCCCACTACTGACGATTGCAGTGTAAAAAAAAGTCCTAATTTTGTTTCCTCCATGTTTTCTTCTCTCTCTTTTATTCGCTTGGCAGATCCAGATGTATCAGCTCTCTCGACTCCTTCACGATTACCACAGAGATCTGTACGATCACTTTGAAGCCAATGAGATCAGCCCCAGCCTCTACGCTGCCCCGTGGTTTCTGACCTTGTTTGCGTCTCAGTTTCCCCTGGGGTTTGTCGCTCGGGTGTTCGGTAAGTCATCCTAATGTCTGGAGCTTGAATAACTTCGGCCACCTCGGGAGAAGAAGGAAGGTCCCTCATGTTGGAAAAGATGGAAGGCCAAAGGAGAAGGGGACGATTATTTATTTAGTGCATCGTGAGAGCATGACAAAAGATAAGTAAACATACATATAGGTAGTTCTGGGTTTACAACAGTTCATTTAGTTGTAAGTTCGAAGTTACAACGGCACTGAGAAAATGTTGTGGCCTCTCGGCCGCCGGTCCCTCCAGCAGCTGAATCAGAGGAGGAGGAGGAGGAGGTGTGGGAGTTAGGGCCAGCAATGAGGCAACCTGAGAGCTCCGAGGGGAAAGAGGGAATGGAACTGGCAGAGAGAGAGAGAGAGGCAGAGCCTGGGCCATCCGTCAGCCCTCAGATGGATAGTCAACAGGTCCCAAGTCTGGAGGTGGCTGATGAGGAAGAGGAGGAACATCTGGGTCCAGTGCCTGACGTGTGGATGCGCCGAAGGCAGAGGAGAGGAGAGCAGTGGAAATCTATGGGCCGGTCCTTGGGACGGAAGAGCCACCACTGCTAGCAAAGCCCCACCCTAACTCTGGGGACAAAAGGCAGGGGGCGGAGATGAATAGATGTGGCAAACAACTATTCATCTTCCTGCCAGACGGACCTGTCAGACTGACAGAGAAACTTTTTGTCGGGGCTGCCGGCGCGCCTAATAAAGGAATCTTTTGAGTTCACGTCAGAGGGTTTGTCGTGTTTGGGGAGCTGGGTCAGAACAGAAAAGGGACTGATGACCATTTGCAGACCTGTGACCATTGCAGCATCTCCATGGTCATGTGATCAAAGTTCAGTGTCCCGAGGGGATCACATGATCCCATTCTGTGATCTTCTGACAAGTGAAGTCGACGGGGAAGCCAGATCCACATAATAACCGTGTGACCGACTTTAACAAAGGCAATGGATCGCTTAACAACTAGGGCAAGAAAAGTCGTAAAAGGGGAGGCGGTGGGAAACTCACTTCATGAATGTTTCACTTAGCAACTTAAAAGGTTGGCCCCGATGTATGATTTTTCTCGCCGCGTTGGTTAAGCGAACCACTGCAGTTCTTAAATTAGTAATACAACTGTTAAGTGGATCTGATTTCCCCGTTGACTTTGCTTATCAGAAGGTCGTAAAAGTGATCCCTGGGGCACTGCAACCGTCATAACTGTGAGTCAGTTGCCAAGCTGGTCTGACTTTTGATCCCGCGACCATCGGGGGGCTGCAATGGTGGTGTGAAAAATGGTCATAAGTCACTTTTTTCAGTGCCGTTTTAACTTCAAACGGTCGCTAATCGAGGACTGTTGCAAATCGAGGGCTACCCGTACACACAATCCTGGGAGTTCAGACCACCTACAGAGCTATGACCCCTACATAACCCCCTACAACATCCAATAGAATACATGTTCTTGCACAGGAACAGGAAGCTCAAGTGCAAAGCCCAAGAGAAGGTATAAAAACCCCTCATTTTCAACTTCGGATGGTCAGTTGCCCAGGACCTTAAACCCATGTGGTCCTGTTCATCAATAAATGGACCCTCTTTCCAATCAGCCTCCAGCCTCCATTTTGTCTTCAGTGTCTTTCTCCCAGCTTGGAACTGAACCAGATGGATATTTCTTCCAACGTAGCCATAACTAAAGAGGAGTGGTGCGGTGGCCTAGAGGCGGAGTTCTCGCCTGTTGTGGCCCGCCAGCGGCCTGCGCGGATTGTGGCTGATCCCGATGACAAGGAGGCTGGTGTGATGTCATGCCAGCAGCCTGTGCAGCCGGTGCTCGCGTCAGACAGCGAGGAGGCTGAAGAGGCTGTGGTGCCAGAGGCAGAGACTCAGCCAGGGCCTTCAGAACCTCCAGAGGCTCCTTCAAGTGGAGATAGCGAAGTGGAGGAGCCTCTCCTCAATGCTCGAGCACGCAGGGCTGCCGAAAGGCAGGAGCGGCTATTCAGGAGGAGGAGGTCTCCTCGAGAGTAAGGCTTGAGGATAATTGGCCACTCCCTTAGCCTATTTAAGTCACACGCCATTAGTAAGTCTCTTGCTGGAAACAACTTGTAATTATCATCAGAGCATTTTTGGAAAAGTCTTATCGTATCTTGTTTTCTGGGCTGGTTGCCAACCTTTGCCGGACTTTGGTTTATTCTTGCTACTTAATAAATTTGATAAGGACCGTTGGTGTGTGTCAATATCCTCGGGAATCCGGAGCTGGGGCAGAACATCGCCTCACAATCAGGAGGCTTAGAAGTTGGAAGGGACCTTGGAGGTCTTCTAGTCCAACCCCCTGCTTAGGCAGGAAACCCTACACCATTTCAGGCAAATGGTTATCTAATCTCTGAGAACTTCAACAAATGGTTATCTAAGGCTGTGAGATCGATCCTAGGTAGAGGCAGATATTTCTCTCTCTGGCCACACTGAGAATATATCTGCTGAACAAAACTCCGCACTGGCGTCAAGAAAGGCATCCGGCCAGTAAACACTCTGCTACCTCCATTCAGTTGCCCAGATTCCACCTGGCAAGGGATTTTGGGGTTGTTAAACGATGATGATGATGATGATGATGATGATGATGATGATGATGATGATAGCCATAACTAAAGAATAAATGAAGAGAAATTTCAGATAAACGAATAAAATCATTATCTTCCAATGCGCTTCCTAACATTTCTCCTGTCTCCTCCAGACTTGATGTTTCTCCAAGGACCAGACGTTATATTTAAAGTGGCTTTAAGTCTTTTGGGAAGCCATAAGCCTTTGATTCTGCAGCATGAAAACCTGGAAACAATTGTCGACTTCATTAAAAGTATTCTTCCCAATCTGGGCTTGGTACAGATGGAAAAAACCATTAACCAGGTATGAAGCGGAGCATTGCCAGGGAGAAGCAGAAGCTGCCAAAATGTAGAACAACTTCCTCCTCGTAATTGAGACCAGTTTTTCCTAGCCGAACTGCAGCATATTTGGGGAGTTAAGATGTTGGAATTTCCTTCGACAGAATTAACGTATTTCTAAACAATAGCCAGATCTGTTTTAAGAAGTTTTGGAGGCTATATTCCCTCCTGCGTCTTCCTGTTTTATTTGGCACGGAGTAAGCTATGGATGCTTGGACAACATCCTATCTTAGCGTGAATATCCTAAGAAACATAATGCCGTGTTCCGTGCACGTAAAAAAAAAAAAAAAAAAAAGCAAATTTGACACCACGTGGCCTAGTCTTCTTTAATGCAAAATCATTGTGAAAAGGTAAAAACAACAGGGAGGTGTATCACATGATATATATAGAACAATAAAAGTCAATCCTCTTGATTGGTGTGGCGTGGCCATGGTGGGTGTGGCCTACTCTGCCTCCTGAACCACGGCGGGGGGGTATGTTTTTGCCCTCCCCAGGCTCCGGAGGCTTTCCTCGAGCCTCCAGGAGGGCAAAAACAGCCTCCCCTGGACTCCAGAGGCCCTCTGGAGGCCAGAAATGAGCCCATTTCCAGACTTCCGGGAGGCCCGTTTTTCTCCCTTCCAGAGCCTCTGCGCAGGCCCTGCACTTACCTGGCATCCGAAACGAGCCGCGTGGAGACTCCTGGGAGGGGCAGGGTGGGGTGGGCGGCTCCAGCCAGTCCTTGCAACTATCGGTTCAGTGAACCAGATGTAAAATTAGCCGAACCGGCTGAATCTCACTCTTGGATTTAAATCAGTGTGTCCAATCTCAATTGTGAAGCTACAGGATAAGCATTCTTCTTTCTGATTTGCAGTGCTTCGGATCTGAAGGCCAGCTGCTGCTTTAGAATATTTGGGCACAAACATTTCACTAGTCTTCAACTCTTTAAAGCCGTTCTTAAGTTAGTAACCCTGTTGTTAAGTGAATTTGGCTTCTCCATTGATTTTTCTGGTCAGGAGGTTGCAAAAGTTTAGGATAGACAGGAAATTCTGCTTAGGAGAATGTTGGCATTCTCAAATCCCCCCAATTTCCTTTATATGATACTAGCTGGACGCGCGTGCTTCACTATGACACTATGTGATTGGGCGTGATAAATTGACACTTAAAGCCTGAAACTTAATGTAGAATGTGTAACTCCATAGCATCAGAGCGTGTGAATATAAGGCAACTGGCAGTTGGAACAGAGTTCTTTTCAGGTAGGGAGGGGGAGTAGAATGTCTAGCTCCTTAGCATCAGAGCTTGTGAATATAAGGCAACTGGCAGTTGGAACAGAGTTCCTTTCAGGTGGGGAGGGGTAGTAGAATGTCTAACTCCTTAGCATCAGGGTGTGCAAATATAATTCTGTATATGAAATACTAATGATCTGATGGTCATTTCGAAAAATCCTTTCTTAACGAGCACCTAGAAGCCAAGAGGAACATAACATGCCAAATTTCAAGTTTGTAGGCTTTACCGTTCTGGAGATTTTGTGATGAGTGAGTGGTATTTGGCTTTTATATATATAGATGAGGAGACAAATTTGATGTTCATGTGGTTTTCTGTTTATTTTTCTCTTCCCACGGCAGGTATTTGAGATGGATATTTCCAGACAGCTCCAAGCTTATGAAGTTGAATACCATGTACTTCAGGATGAATTAATCGATTCTTCTCTCGATGACAATCAAAGGATGGATAAACTGGAGAAGGCCAACAGTAACTTACGGAAGCAAAACTTCGATCTCCTTGAGGAGCTCCAGGTATGGGCTGCACTTCAGGCGTCACACGTTAAACAACATATTAAGCAAGTCAAGAGAGAACTCGTATTTATTTCTGCTGGATGCAGTCAACAAGGAACACATTTCCCTTGGCCAAAAATTAATTTGCACTAATTTTTTTTTTTCTGTAAACCAATTGGGCCAGCCGTAAGATTTCACACACACACACAAATTCAAAATGATGTTCCTGATTTAAAATGTAAGGATTTTAAACACTTGGAACTACGAGTGTATGAACAGAATAAACCCCACTCCCTACTAGCACTGATATTGTCACTTAGTTGGATAATGAAATGTTTGCAGGAAAAGAATCGAGCTCAGAGCGCACCAAGGACTATTACTATTTAGATCCCTTTGTCTATTATTCTATTATTAATATTATTATCATACTTTTATTCATTAAACAAGAAACTCGGTCAACTGAACATTTAAAAAATGTATCACAAATATTATTGACTGGCAGTGATGGTTGATACAGATTGCTGCCATCATCATCATCATTATTATATTTAAATTTATTGCCATACATCTCGTGGTTCAAGACAATCATTTTAGTATTTTTTAAGTTTTAAAATCTTTTTAATATTTGTTAACGTTAATGATTGTAGACATTCATTGTTCTAGTTTGGTTGGACGCTACCCAAAGTCATCTCATGTTTACGAGATGGCCAGCTGTATAAATCAGATAATTAAAACGTCTTAATAAAAAGGACATTAAGGATCAGTTCCTTAGGGATCCCCAAATTTCAACCCAGTTACTTATATCCTGTAGAGTAGACATTAAAACAATCTACTGCAGCAGGAAGTCCAACTCATTCATTTGTTTTTGAACGAGGTAGAAATCCCAAATCGGAATGGGATTTAGGTAAATGCCAAATTAGTAAAATTGTGTTTTTAATTCCATCTTCACTCCGCATGTAAGGCAACTGGACTTTCTGGTTTTTTTCTTTTGAAGACGTTTCGCTTCTCATCCCAGAAGCTTCTTTAGTTCTGACAGGATGGTGGGGAATGGAAGGATTTATATTCCTTGCAGACAGCTGGTCATTTGCATCCTTTTAGAAGGTCGTTGAGGCAGCTTGGAGGTTTGTCTGTGTCCTCAGGGTCACCTGAGTAGTGCTAATGCTTCCCATAGTCTGCAATTTTTTGAAAATCCGTTCCTACTCCACCATTCAAAGGCTTTTCCTCCCAAATTGTATAGCTAAAAGTCTATGGAGATTCTCAGTCATCCAGGTCACAGTTTGTCCAAAAAGGTGCTTTTTCAGGAGGCAACTGGATTTTCATCTGACGGGGGTGGAAACCTTTTGAGTAGTCAGGGATGGTTGCCCTGGTGACCTCCAAAAATTTGGAGTTCAACCCCAACATCGGTTGTCATTGATCGTGTCCATCAAGGCTGACAGCTGAAACGTGATGAGTGGGCCTTGTTGCTTACTGGCATTGTATATTCTTCCATGATCATCAGTATCCTTGTTTCCTGTTTATTCTTTCAAGGTGGCTAATGGGAAGATCCAAAACCTGCAAGCCATGGTTGAAGTTCTGCTTAATAACGAAGGCAAATTGAACCAGACCATCGTCACTCTGGAACGGGAGAGGAAAGGATTGTTAGAAACTCTGAAGGAATTCCACACGCAGCCAGCAAACTCCGGTGGGAAAACTTGTCCCTCCGAGCAAGGACGCACAAATGCCACTAACTGAGATTTTAAGGCTCAGCGTAGGAGGAACTCTTCGAATTGTCCGTATCGCCCATGCCTTACCTGTTCTTCGTCTTCCTTTTTTCTCGAATCATGTTGCACACAGGAGGAAAATGTTACAGTGCTTACTCAACGTGGAAGATCTTGCTCGTCTACGTCCCAAATTCTTTCAAATAATACATAGACGGAGTACAACCACAGAATAATCTTTAAGCTTTACTACAAGTCGACGCATTTCCCACCTGGTTGTAAACTTCTGGAGTTCTTCACCTACCTACAGTAACCGCTTCTAAGAGTTTCGCCGTAGTTAACACTGAAAGCGTTTAGGGAAATTCCAGGCTGCAAACTTCTCAAGGAACTTCAGTTTTAGAAACATGCTGGAGTGATTTCTTTCCCATTTAAGGGGCTAAGGTGTATTCATTTATGACTGAATTTCTTTCTCCGAAAGTGGGTTCTGCTTACTCACAGTGTGTTTTTAAAACTTGCCGGGGGATACCGACTTCGTGAAACAACAAAGAAGCCAAACATCATCCTATAATTTTGGGGACTACTCTTAGTTGTTGCCAATGTAATAAATATGGATTTTTTGTTATTTTTAATCTAATGTTGTAGCATGGTTGAATGCTTTGAGATCAGGGTTCAGGAGATATCTTTCCTATCTCTCTGTATTGGCAGAATCCGAAGCTTACTTATCTTTATAGTTGACTATGCCTTAAGATGTTGTTTTATTTATTTTTGATTCATTGTGCCACAAGCCTTTGTTTTCTGAACGCAGAGCTAGTCGTTTCCCGTTTTAATTCCAGCAGCTCAGTCAGATATCAAGCAAGTTGTAGGTCGATAACACTTCAAACATCACCGTTAAAAATTCCGGAGCCACTTAGAAATGAAAGATATTCGGTATACGTGTTGCACTTAGAAGTACATTACACTGAACAAGATTATGGTTTTAAAACAGTTTTATTTTTTTAAAAAAAATAGTTTAATGATTTTTTTCATTAGGCCTGCAGGCACTTCAGGTATTTGGCAAATATTCGAGGATTCATCACAATTTTAATCAGAATGATTGGTTACGATCACATTTTGTTCAAACACATGTGCACGTTTGTGATTTTAAAAGTTTTAACTTAGTTACGTAATGATGATGAGTTTCGCTGAGTGGTTTGCCACTGATTGAAGTAAATCTGCACTTTGAGGGGGTATCTGCACTACAAGTGTAAATTGATTTAATAACTGTTTCATCCTGTGGGGGGGCGGGAACAGTTCAATTTTTAGGGCATAATGGTCTCTGAAAGATAATTTTAAATATCCTTGTCAAATTAATTCATTTGACCCTTGAAAGAAAAGCATAACTAACTAACAGGTCTCCCTTACCTGATGTAGTGTGGTTATTTTTTAAGCAAGAGTTGACTGCATTAAATAAACAATGTTCTTTTTTAAAAAAAAAAAGTTACACTGGCTCCTTGGAAAATAACGGTTGAAATTCAGCACGTGGGTTTTTTTTTTTTTGCATTGATAAATATTGGAAATGACAATCTTATTGACTTTGCTGTTTGGTTTGATGTTAGACATCATTACCCACATGTTTATATTCTTTTGTTTTTCCATAATTATTTCATATTGTCAGCATCAGACACTTACTGCTGTATCTATACACTGTTAGTATGCCCAACAGCATTGAATTTGGACTGACATGACCCCATCTGTAAGTTTTTTTAACACTTAAAAAAAAAGCAATAAACATCAAATTCATGTGTGATGCTCCAAAAATCCAGAAAAGTCTCTTATCTTCCCTTCCTCTTTTTTTTCTTTCTTCCTTCCCTTCCCTTCTGGGTTTCTTAAACATAAATTAAACATGCCACAGGTTTCCAGATTACGGATTGTGCTTTCCTGATTATGGATTGTGCTTTCCAGATTATGGATTGATGATGCTTCCTACATACAACCTTCTCTTCTGGGTTTCTTAAAACATAAATTTAACATGCCACAGGTTTCTAGATTATGGATTGTGCTTCCCAGATTATGGATTGTACTTTCTAGATTATGGATTGATGAAGCTTCCTACATACAATCTTCTTTCATGGGTTTCCCTAAAACATAAATTTAACATTCCACAGGTTTCTGGATTATGGATTCTGCTTTCTAGATTACGGATTGTGCTTTCTAGATTATGGATTGATGAAGCTTCCTACATACTTCTCTTCTGGGTTTCTTAAAACATAAATTTAACATTCCACAGGTTTCTAGATTATGGATTGTGCTTTCTAGATTACCGATTGTGCTTTCCAGATTATGGATTGTGCTTCCCAGTTTATGGATTGCGCTTTCTAGATTATGGATTGATGTAGGTTCCTACATATAACCTTCTCTTCTGGGTTTCTTAAAACATAATTGTGGTCGTAAATCGAGGATCCCCTATACTCGCCGCAAGATCAAAAATGCGGTAGATATCTTGCTGTATCCTAGCATGGGAAGATTTAATGTTGTTTGTTTGTTTTTTTAATGGCTGCAATGATTTTTTTTCTCCCTGCCCTCTCCCCAAATTAAGTTTTGGGGTTTTAATCCTCTCCAGGAAACTGAAAGGATGGAAAATATCCTGCAGCTTGCAGCCTACTCTACGTGGTTTGTTCCTTTCCCCCAGATTTATTTACAGCAGCTTTTGTTAGAGATGGATGAGTGGCTCTTTATTTCTCCCACCTGCAAAGTCTCTTATCCGTCTTAGCACAGAACCTTCTGTTTGAAGGTATTATCCCCGGAGGGATCTTATCTCTGACACACAGGAAGCTTTTTTTAAATAGGAAGATCGCCTAGGCTTCCTCGCAGGTGCGTGAAGGTGGATTCCTGAGACGAGATTTCCATCTTTGGGTTTCAGAGGAAAGCAATTTAATTAGTCCCGGTGTGCAGTCTCATTTTTTTTTAATTCTTTTTTTTACAGATGAAGAATTTTGCAGGAAATGCTAAACTCGGTGTATGTCCTGTAGGAAGTTAGCACCCACCCCTTTCCTAGAGGAATGAAATATTTTAGGAAATATTAAAAAGGCAGAACATTATGTTTCCCTGTATGAGAAACGGAGAAACATGTTTTAAAGACGAAGCAGCTCCCATCTTCCTGCCCCCACCCTTTGTCAATGGGCCAGAGGCAGAAACTCAATCTTTGTCAATGGACCATCATCTGCAACACAATAGGACCCATCTAGCAACAGAAACTAACACAATGGGACCCATCTAGCAACAGAAACTCACCACATGGCACCTGGGAAGATTACATCAGCCAGCAAGGCTAGCTAAGACCCCCGCCCCCTGGGAGTCTGACAACCAATCAGGATACTCTTTCGGGGCCCCAGGAAGTTCAAAGCCAGAGAAGGCATAAAACCCGGGGACTCACTGCATCTCCTCCCTTTTTTGTATTCAGGAACTCAAACCATGTGATCCTGTCCACCATTAAATCATCTTTCCAAGCAGTCTCCTTGTTTCCAGTGTCTTTTTCCCCACTTGGAGCTGAACCCAGAAGGATATTTCTTCCTACATACTCCCACACCATTCGAAATTGTACAGCTAAAAGTCCGTAGAGATTCTCAGCCATTCAGCTCATGGTTGTCTCAAAGATGCTTTCTTCAGGAGGCAACTGAACTTTTCTTGTCTTTTCTAGTTGGGTAACCTTGGTGCATGGTTTTTCCACTTTCGGCTGATTTGCAATCCGACTTTTGATTCCAGGGGGAGTTCTTAAAAATCAAGCTGACAGCTTCCGCCTATATCTGTTAATTATTTTATTAGAGGTGTTGTTTTTTTTTAAAAAAAATAAAATTAAAGAAGACGGATCTGGATCCACGTTGCAAAGATACGGATAACCAGCAGATGGCAATCAGCATTTCCTGTCTCTCTTTTCAACCGTTTAGTTTTCATCCGAATGTTTGCAATCGAGAACTATTAGATTATTTTTTTTCAGGAGAAATAACCGCTTGGAGATTTGAGGCAGATCTACCATGTTCGATCACTAGATCCTGTAGAACGTAATCTCTGAAGCTGAGTAGCACCTGAGATTGTTTACTTAGGGATTGGATTGAAAAGCACTAAGGCAGGGAACCCAACACCAGCACAGAATGTAGAATAATAGGTTGGAAGGGACCTTGGAGGTCTTCTAGTCCAACCCCTTGCTTGAGTTAGGAGACCCTGTACCAATCCAGACAAATAGTGGTCAAATCTCTTTGTCAAGTTTCCGAAAGTTGCCCCTAATTAATTCATGAGCCATGATCCAAACTTCAAAGGAAATACAATCATTTATTAGGAGCAACATTCCGGCAATACTCGGATGCAGTTAGGACTGATCCTACGTAGATTTACGTTCCCCTATGACCCTGTCTCTTCTCTCCTCTCTGGCCATGTCATAAATCACATTCTCCAATTAACCACTTTGGCTGGCTGTGAAACCTAACACCCTCCTTCTGATTGCGGTCAGGAAGAATGTATGGAATTCACTTCAGTTCTCCCTCCCTCCTGCTCATGGCAACTTGAAAGCTTTGCAAGTTGACACTCTTCTTGAAAGACAGCCTTGAAAGATAATTTAAAAGTTTTAAACAAAACGTTAAAAGGGCTAAAATCCCAAGTATCGCCAAGTGTCTCAATAATTATTTTCATCAGAATCTGAAAAACGTCTTTGTTTTTGCTAGAAATGAAGTTCCGATACAATTCCGCACCTAGAAAATCGGAATTCTAGGTCATTCTGCACGATCCATACTTTTTCTCCAAAATGGAAAAACATAGGCAGTTTCCTTTATTTTGGCAGGCAATGTATTTACCCCAAAAGGCCTAAGATCCAGGACACTAAAAGAAAACTGGGACAGTAACAAAGCTATCTAACTTTTCCTTGGGCCTGAAACCCAGTTTTTACCATCATAAGGACTACAAACTTAACATATGTTTTTTAAAAACGTGACAGGCGACATTCTTGGGTTGCTTAACTTTTCCTGTGCTTAACGCACAATCGCTGACATTGTGCAGTCCTTAGTACTCGATGAGGTGCGCAGGGCATGTAAACACGTCTCTCGCGCCATCGCTTTTGAGCACTCTGCATCTTTCCATTGAGTTTTGAATTGCGAGAAGATGCAATTTTATCTTTCCATGAAGGGGAATTTTAATAGCATCCTTACAACTAGGTGGCAATGTTGTCCTAGTAAGTTATGGGATACCAGTTAATGCTTGTCCAGAATTCCCTCTTTGAAAGGTTACAAACCACAAGACGAGGTGAGAAAGTCAGACAGATAGCCGTTTACAAAGTGGGAGGAAGAAACCATAAAATCAAGCGATACAATTTTGAGGTGCTGGTGGGTACCCCCCAAAAGACTGCACTGCCCCCTCTCCTTGCATGAATCGAATCTAGTCAGTGGTGAAATCCAATTTTTTTTACTACCGATTCTGTGGGTGTGGCTTGGTGGGTGTGGCAGGGGAAGGATATTGCAAAATCCCCATTCCCTCCTCACTCCAGGGGAAGG